TATATAAATAATTTTGAAATTTAACTAATATATATAATGTGAATAGGTCATTCAGATATTGTATATACATTTATTTATTTATTTTGTAAGTCTGCATAACACTTATATTGAAATTGTCTTTTATAAATTAATGTAACTTATTTTAATGGTACTCTTATACCAATGAAAATTTTGAACATTGTGATTTGTACATCAAACAAGCCCACAAAAAATTAAGTACCTTATCTTATTTGTAGAGTAAAGTTCAAAACTTTTTTCATTATCTAAATTGAATCCTGTCACTGAAGTGAAGTTTCAGTGAACAAATTGCTTATAATATTGAAACTCTTTCAATAAGATTAGCTCATCACAGAACACCGTGCCATCTATTAAGTGTCCAACAGATGATATAAAGATGTTAACCACAATCACATGAAGCATTTTATGTGATACAGGAAAGTTTGGCATCTATTAAGTGTCCAACAGATGATTTAACCCTATGACTACCTGCTACTAATTTTTTTAGTAGGTAATATCACTCTCATCATATTTTGTTCCAAAAATGAAACTAGTGGATGAAATTGTTCAAAATTTGACAAGAGCATTCCTAAAAGTATGTAGTTTCAGAAAAACAAAACATTTAATTTTGATTTTTTCTACTATTTCTAATAAAAAAATTCGTTATTTAATGTAGTTATTTCACACTTTGAATAGTTCATTTACAAGGTGATTTGAAGTATAAAAATACTATTTATTACCTTGCAGTTTTCACATTTGTAGAATCTCATAAATGAATACCAAATATTTTTTAAAGTGAATGTTTATATTTTATTTTCCATTTTCTCTAGTATATCACTAACTATCTATTATCATCAACATACAGTGCAATATAATGTTTAAAATTAACAAATAGAAATATCTACATACCTTTCAACTCTTCATAGAAATCCACTAGAATAGTCATGTTTTTCTTATGTGCGTAATTTAATCTTTTTTTACTATTATTTTTTTAATTTTCCCTTCAAATTCTTCATCTATTATATTTTATGCCCATATGTTAACTGATGGCTGCGGGTCTTTACGTAAGTATTTTAACAGACTCCCTGCAGAGACGTGTTGCCGAAACACATGCCAACACTTACACATGCCATCTTGTTTATAACCTCTCAAAATTCAGGTGGCAAGTTAAACTTATAAAAATCATTAAACCATTCAAGTATGATTTTTAAAACACACATAATACATATGTAACTAAAATATAAAAGTAAGACCTAAATACAATTTAACTGTCTCTCTTACTATAGCATAATTAGGTTTGAAACCACCTTACGTGCTATATATGATCAAGCAGGCAACAATATGAATGTACACAGTAAGGAAAACTGTGCACCTATTTGAAATTAACCATTGGTAGAGTATAGCATAAACTGAACTCTTTGTAAGGACTATATACACTTGTGTCAACTAACTACATGTATGTTGTAGATCTCAAGGACAAGTATAGAAAGTGAGTGTGGCAACCGTCAAGGGTTGGAAAATTTATTTCCAATTTATTCTTTCTATTTTTATTCTTTAAAAATTTATTTATTCTTTATATTTCCGTTTATTCTTTCTCAATACAACTTTGCAATACACTTAATTTCCACAGTCGCGCTATAACAAACACTATAATTCACAACGAACGTCTCACGTGCTCAACAATACGTCTCTTTCTGTCCGCAGTTCAATTACACGTTGTTATCGTCACGTCTTGACCGTCTTATATGTACAAGAATACCGAAATCTAGTAACCTCCCGACACTAACTTAAACACACGCTATAATTCACAACGATTCATGCACTATACTTATGACTTGACTCGATTATCTGTCTCTATCTCCCTATCTTCAATTCTCTATGCCGTCACTTTTCTTCTCTCCGCTTTATTTGCCGGGCTTATATACAAAAATAAAGGCCATCTGGCAAACACTCAAGCCTTCATGATCCTTCTAGAAACATATCACGTGTTACCAGCATTACATGACTTGTGCTTCTCGTAACACTGCCTCTTCCTTAGTATTGTTCGTCCTGAACAATAGCCACTTACATTAAACCAATAGATAATTAATGATAACTTAATTAAATGTACAGAATTTACAAACACAAAATTAAAATTCAACAAAGTCTCATAATTTTACGGGACGTATCCTCTTCTGTACTGGTCTCCGTCTCATTGGCTTCTGCTTCACGTGGGATTCATCTGCTCCATCAGGAAATGTCCTATTATCGGTAACTGTCACACCAGTGGTAGTAACTTCATCAAGGGTTTTACTGTTTCCCTTCTCAAAACCGAGTAGGGTTTCTTTTTCGTCAGTGACTTTTTCAGGTGACACGTCTTCAGCATCATCATTTGTTCCATTATTCACTTTGTTCCAACTGAAATGTCCTAGACCATGATAACGCCAAAGCCTGTTCGCATGCACCACCTTTGGCTTACCTCGCCACCCACATTTTATTTGGAAAGTCATGTCTGAGAGATGATCCACTATGTCATATGGGTCTTCCGATGGAAAAGACAACTTAGGAAACTTCCATTTGGTCTTCCTGGGATTATATAACCATTGATATCACTGATTGTTTCATAGTTGTGTACACAGTGGTCCGAAATAGTTTCG